GGCGTTAACGTCGTCCGCGCGCCGCCCCGCCCCGCCCCCAGGTGAGTCACCCCTGGGGAAGGCGCTGATGAGCCGGCCTTGGTCCGGCTTTTGGGAGCACTTGAGTGCCTGGGTGGCCACCAGGTCAGGTCCTAGTGGCTGAGGTTCTAATCAAGACCTTGGATTTTTTAAGTTCTTTTTTTTGTTTGTTTTAATTATAATTTTGGCATTCTACACCGAAGTCATCATGAACTTTTTCCAACTCCTGATGAAAAAGAAGGAAGTAAGTTTCTAAAGCCATTGACAATCTTGACTGAAAGCTTTGAATTTTAAAGATAAAAAGATGGTGCCGATTTCGAAAGAAATGTAAGATGATATAATGCATAGCTGTTATGTTTTATTAGATGTCAGATTTCCTCTGAATATTTACCCTCCACCTGTTCTCTGGTAGCTTATTCCCCTGGTGCTGATCATGAGCTTCGCAGCGACGGGAGCCTCGTCGTTTGCTGTATATTCCTTTCGGAAAACCGATGTGATGTAAGTAGGCCTCATTGATAAAGACGCCTTGGGTGGTGTTGGTTGGTTTTTAGTTTATGAAATGTATGCTCTTTGATTCCTAGTCCTGCCCCCCCCATGTACAGTAATCTCAATTTATGTCCATATTTTAAAATAGCTAGAAGAGAGGATTTTTAATGTTTTCTTTGCAAAGAAATAAGTATTTGTGGTGACAGATATGCTAACTACCCTGATTTGATCATAATATAAATGTGTGCATGTATCAAAATATCATGTTATACAAATATGTATAACTGCCATTAAAAATTAGAAGAATGTCAAGTGGTGAGCTTGAAGTCAGGGCTAAAATGCAACCTAATATCAGAAGACAACTGAAATTTCATATTAATAAAATGAGTGTTCCTTCTATGTAAATATTCTCTCGTGTATTTAGCCCTCCTTCACTCTCCTGCAGTGAAGTAAAGTTTAATTTTTGAAATTTAAGTTTAGAATTTTCTAAATTCTAAAACTTGGAGAGGATATATATCATCAAACTTAAATAATCATTTAAAGTTTTAAATGTTACCTTATTAGAAAACACTTTCCTACTCTAGAGTTGATAGACTCGGTTGTCTACAATAAAGCTAATCTCTCTTTTGGATATAAGATGGTTAAAAAACCACGTATCCTGCAATGTGCAGAAGAGATACGCGAAGCTGATCTAGGCTGGTAGAGGCAGCAGAGGCCAGTGACCACCGGAAGAGAGACTCCTAAGTGGAGGTGAGTAAGCAGAGACTTTGGGGTGACGTCCCCTGAGGAAATAATTGGAGGTTTGGAGGAAGGACCGGCCAGTCTGCCAACCACCTGCCGCACGTGCTGGCCTGAGACTCAGGGCTCCTGAATTTCCCACCTACAGAGTTCAAGCCTAGCCTCTCAGGCCCCCAAGAACCAGGAATAGACATATTGATTGTCCTTAGCCTACAGCTCCATCCCCCACTATTTATTCTCCAATCTAGCCCAATTAAGAGAATATAGATCAATTACCTTACAGAGAAATTGATTCTTAATATTTGAGTCAAGTCAAGAAACTGCCTTAAAGAATCTCCCATCAATTTCAGTGACAACTGATGGTTCCTGGTAGTTAACCAACAGAAGGCTGCCTAAGTACAGAGATTAGGTCTGCCCCTAGCATGTTTATACGACCCAGTATCAGTGTTAGTTCAAATTCACGTACTTTAGTGTTTAATTAGCTTTTATTTTTCAGCATTGATCGAAAAAGAAACCCAGAACCTTGGGAATCTGTGGATCCTACTGTACCCCAAAAGGTATTGCTAAGTTAAAAACAAATTACTTACATTTAGCCCAAACCTTAGCACCTTTGTCTAAATTGATTTAACACCTTACACCTGCAGAGTGCCATTTACTGTAGTGTTAAAGACAATGCTATGGAGTTTTAGAGATCTAGTTGAAACCTTTGCTTTACCATTCATAGATAATTTTAGATAAGTTGATCTTTCAAGGTTCTCAGAATCTATAAAATGAAGACAATAATAAAGTTAAACAGATGAAAGAAAATGAAAGACAAAGAATCTTTAACACAGTACCTGACCCATAGTAGGTGCTCAAATATAAACTTTATCGAATATACTATCTTATTTTATTCATTACTTATCTAAAAGTAACATAAGGTTTATTGTGATAAATAATAAGAGCTTCTGAAACCAGGAGTGGCATTCTCTTTAAATGAAATCAACTAGTATCTACTTACTCTTGTAAGACTATTGAAAATATATGTTTTTTTAACATTAAAATTTTTTGGAAGTCAGAAAACTTTAAGTCTGTGGGAGTGAACACTAGTTAGGTATGTTGTGAAAGTTTTACTTTTCTTCTTTTAAATACAAAACTCGGGCCAGCAGATGGCTTGGTGGTTAAGGTGCTGGAATTCCCACATAGCCAGCCATAGTTTGTTTGCTTTACCATTCATAGATAATTTTAGATAAGTTGATCTTTCAAGGTTCTCAGAATCTATAAAATGAAGACAATAATAAAGTTAAACAGATGAAAGAAAATGAAAGACAAAGAATCCTTAACACAGTACCTGACCCATAGTAGGTGCTCAAATATAAACTTTATCGAATATACTATCTTATTTTATTCATTACTTATCTAAAAGTAACATAAGGTTTATTGTGATAAATAATAAGAGCTTCTGAAACCAGGAGTGGCATTCTCTTTAAATGAAATCAACTAGTATCTACTTACTCTTGTAAGACTATTGAAAATATATGTTTTTTTAACATTAAAATTTTTTGGAAGTCAGAAAACTTTAAGTCTGTGGGAGTGAACACTAGTTAGGTATGTTGTGAAAGTTTTACTTTTCTTCTTTTAAATACAAAACTCGGGCCAGCAGATGGCTTGGTGGTTAAGGTGCTGGAATTCCCACATAGCCAGCCATAGTTTGAGTCCCGGACCTGGTGGCTTGCTTTCTCGCTCTCCCTTT